GGGGGGGGGGGAAGGGGGTAAAAGCTTCTAAGATCTACTCCTTAATATAAGCTCTTGTGTTAATGATTCCCAAGTCTATTTCTAGGCAGCTATGTTTCAGGCTTCAATATTCTTTACTTGAGAAGCAATGCAGTTAAAAAGAAAAAGGCAGAAAATCTAGAATCTGAAGCTCTAGGTTCAAATCTGATTCGGCAATTATTATTTATGCATCTAATAAGGCTCTGAAGACAAACTGTCAAGGTTTTAAGCATGGCTCTGCCATTTCTGGGTGATAGGGCTAATTATTTAAATAACCGGGGCTCCTATAATAAGGAGGATACAAATTGTACTATCTCCTAGAGTTGTTGCAAAGATTAAATGAGGTAATAAAGTATTTAGAACAGTGTCTGGCACATAGAAAGGGCTTAATAACTGTTAGCTTTCTAAGGAATTGGTTTCATGCTAGCAAAATTGGAAGAATGATGATGGTTCCATTAACTCAGAATTGTGATGAGGAGTAAACAAAACAATATTAAACATTATAGGAAAATTATTAGAAACTTAAAAGGTTGTCATTATTAACATAGAAAATACTAGAGAATATTTAAACTAATCAAATTTGAGAGTAAACCTACCAGAAATGCAAATATGGTATAATGGAAAGGGCATCATTTTCTGGAGATGTGCAGTATTAAAATGAAATTAATGTAAAAAATTTACTCAAAGAGATTTGCTTTTAGTTCACTTGACTATTAAGTGAGAAAAATATGGAACTGAATTAAAACGCTGGAGCTATGTCTCATTTAAGCAAACTGCTCATTTTACATTATTTTTACTGCTGGAAAAAAAATAAGAGGTTTAAATCAGAATTAAAATCCAAATGGTCAAAGCCATGATCTGTATTTTCATGAACTCTGGGTCAAAAAATGTGTAGATAATTGGGAAAGAGGAAACTCTGCAGAGATGTAGGTCAGAGGAGTAGTAACACAGACTACTGTTGAAGCTAATGACATATTAGAATTAGATTAAAGAAATATAATACTATATGAATTAATGATATTTTGGGGATGAGAAGAAACATGATGTGCTATTTGGCAATCAACTGATTGACTGATTGATTAATTGATTGGTTGATTTTAAGAAATGCTTTTTGGTTCCAAGATGCTAAGATATTTTCATTTGCTTATTTATTTTAAAGTATCTCTTTATTGATTTCAGAGGGAGGAAAGGAGAGGGAGAGAGAGAGATAGAAATATCAGTGATGAGAGAGTCATTGATCGGCTGCCTAGCCCGCAGCCCAGGCATGTACCCCCAACCGGGAATCGAACCCCGATTGCCTGGATCCTAGGTCGACGCTCAACCACTGAGCTACGCCAGGCCCGGTGGCAACCAACTGATTTAAATCTCAATCTTTTTTGGAAAGGTTTAGTGAAACAGAAAATGATAAATTTTTGCTTCTCAATAAGACATTTAAAAAGGAAAACATTCTAAAAATCTTATATTTATAATACATATTATATAATATATTGTATACATAAATCATAAATAAATAGAATATATTACTTATATTCCATTTATTAAAAATATACTGATCAAACATTTATTAATATCCATATATATTATTTTCTTAAATATACTACTTTCTACAATAAAAATATTTTATTTTAATTCAAATTAACAAACATTCATGGGGTAACTACTACATTTCAAGGTATTGCATAAGAGACAGTGACAAATACAATCTAAAGGAAAAGCAAAATGTACTTAATTATAATTAAAAGAAGTCATTTTCAATACAAAGGGTAAAGATACTGAAAAGGGTGATTAGTATTTTATTTTTTAATGAAAGAAGGTTCATATTTAAATCATGCAAAAAGTATTTAATCATCCAAACAATTTAAATTTGTAATTCAGAATAGCTTTTGTGTATCTGAAACAATGTGGACTTTGAAATAATTCAATCAACTTCTAAAGTGAGATTCCAAACACAGAATAATTATGACAAGTCTTAATCTGACCTACCGTGCAGGACCAGAGGGCTCATCTCTTGCTGAGCTTAGTACAGTTTTGATTATAAGTTCCTAAAACAAAGGGGAAATAGCAATGATAAGAGTTCATTCATTAATTCAATAAATATTTACAGAATGGCTACTATACCAGGTGGTAGGAATACTATAGTGAAATAAAACATAAGTCTTTGTTCTCACATACATATTTTTAATAAAGGCCAATGTTACTCATAAAATTAGCTAAATGAATAAAATGCTATGGTCTAAATGTTTGTCCCCTCAAAATTCGTATGTTGAAATTCTAACCCCCAGAGATGATGGTATTAGGAAGTGCTTAGGTCATGAGGGTGGAGCTTTTCTGAATGAGATTAATGATCTTACAAAAGAGACCCCCACATAGCTTCCCGGTTCCTTCTACTTTGTGAGGACACAGGGAGAAGGCCCAGGATGAACCAGAAGAGGTGCCCTAACCTTAATGTGACTATGCTAAACCCTTGGACTTCTCAGCCTCCAGAAATCTGAGAAATAAATTTTTGTTGTTTTATAAGCTACCCAGTCTGTAGTATTTTGTCATAGCAGCCCCAAATAACTTTTTGCTGATTTTTCACTTGAGATTTTTAAAAAGGTTTGTAATCAATTAGGAGCATAGCTGTTCCTAACCAGACACTATTATCTTTATTTTTAAGGTTTACTATTTGGGATAAGTTCCATCAGCAATTATATAGTCATTTTAAATTTTGCACCACCTCTTGTTCAAGACTGTTAATGCTTTATGTACATGGGATCCTAAACCCCGGTTCCTATAGCAGAACAGAATATTCTATTACATTTTGTTTGACTCTTCACACTGGGAAATTGGGAGAGGGAGAGAGTCAATAAGCAGGTTTAGTGCCATCTTAATCTTAGAAGCCTTATATTACCGGTCTAGTATCTGGCATATAAAGATGTTTCAATAAATGTTCAGTGAGTGAGTGAATGAATCGTAAGAGACTGACACATGAATGGGTTCAATAATAAAAAAATGTTTCCAAAGCAGTTATAAACATAAAAAAGGCAATGCTCCAATAAACAGTCCAGCCTTTGTGTTCTGAAAAGTATGGCTGGTTAATGTTCTTTAACAATTGTGTGGATTTCTAAGAAAAGAAAGAATACAAATTTTATTGAATATACATTATGATTATACAATCATTTAACTGCTAAAAATTAGCATCTGATTTCTTACCTTAACATCTGTAAACTGAGACACAGCAATATCAGGAATATTGGGATGAAGAGCAGGCAATTCACAATATAAGTTAGGAAAGCAAACCAAAGATCCCAGAAGAACTTGTGCTTCCACTCTTGGTGCCTACATGTAACCAATTTTTTAAACCTTTAAAATGTATTTATGCAATTAAATTATCAAAAAAATTACTTTATCCCCTAACCATATTACAAAGAGAAGTGAGCAAACAGGACAAAATTTAAAAAGAAAAGGGGAAACACAAAAAGATTCAGCTTTTCACTATATTTTCCATATAAACTACTATTATTCTCAAAAAATGGAACAAATAGCAGAGCTTTCCTCAAGAGCAGGTAATAAGCAGAAATTAACCACAGTTAATGAGAATACAAATAAAAATACAGCTTAGCTAACAGCATAAAATTACCATAATTTTAAGGAAAAATATAAATACTTTTGTTTTAAAGGCAACTCATATAGCATAACACATTGTTCTTTTAAAAAAATATTAAGTTACTGGGGTGATGTTGGTTAATTGACAACACATTGTTCTAATGAGCACATGACTCAATGCCACTAGATTTTATTTGTTACTACCTACGGATGAGTAAAATAACTAAGGACAATATTGTTAACTATATTTTCAAGAAACAGGCACTAGTCTAGATGGTTTCCGTATTATGCACATGAGAAAAAAACACTGCCTGTACCACTTACTAAAAGCGAATTAGAATTTATGCTTCGACTGCAGATGAAGATAACTTTTCATCTTTTTTCCTTAGCTGTGTTAAGCCATTTCAGAAGTATCAGCACTGAACATTTCTTTTTCTTCTCTGATTTCTTACATGCCTACCAAATACTCACATCAACCTACTAATATATTGCTATACTTATTAAAATAACTATAAACTGATTTACATGTTTAATACTTAAGAAAAATGCTAAAAATCTATTAGAAATACAATACTTCTATTCACAAAAATCAAGAACCTATCTTCAAGAGAACTTCCTTATGTTAATAAATGCTATAATAGGGGCAATGAAGTACTCTACTATGATTTCCAACAAAACTCATTTCTGTATTTAAAAAATAATCTAGACAGCAGCATAAACGGGCAGAGTAAGATGGTAGCCACTGTCCCGATTTAAAGTAAGTTATCCTGAGATTTCAAGATGGCAGCAGATTAAGTGGAAGCTACACTGACATTCTCCAGGGGCCAAACTGGAATTACAACTAAAATACAGAAAAACCATCCTGAATAATCAACTGCAACTGAAGACTAGCTGGAGAGCATTCTCATAACCAAGGAGGAAAAGTGGAGACCACACAGAGACTGGTAGGAAGTGCAGAGGTGTGAGAGGGCTGGCTGGGCTCCCACAGGCAGCAGCTGAAGGTCAGGAGGGATATCTCAGGTGTGGGGGGTTCCCACTGAGGACTCTGGGGCCTAAACCCCAGGCTGGGCTTCCTAGCCAAGAGCACCAGAACTGAGAAAGGTGCCACATAACATGGCTATAAAAAGCAGCCAGGTTTCTGTCTGCCAGGGAGAGATGGCTGGAAATGCAGGCACCTTCTTAAAGGGCTAATGCACAAAATTTTATGTGCAGCCAGTCACCTTGGGCTCCGACAGAGGGAGGGCAGACTGGAGTAGAGCTGTGTGAGGAGAATCCAGGGATGGGGGCTTTTGAGACAGAGCGCAGATTCCTATGCTGAGTCAATCCTCCATATTGCAGAGGACATATTTCTCAGGCAGACCTTTGCCAGCCAAGCAGCTTTTGCCTGTGGGGGAAGCAACTGCCCCACCCTATTGTAAAACCTCTTGCCCCACCCTGTGGAGTTTCTACAGGCTGAGGCTCATTAAGAGACTGAATAAAATTCAGTCTCAGAGTCTCAGGTGCTCAGTCTTTATCTGATTTGCTTCAGAACCTAGAGCTTGGAAAAGCAGACCTTGCTGCACATCTTGGAACATTTCAAATGCACCCAGCCCCAGCAGGGAGAACCACAAGCTGTGGAGTGCAGAGAGCTTCAAACAGGTTACTCAAGGCCAGTCACAAACAGTGTCTGACATTGGCCTGCACCAGAGACCCTCCAAAAAGACTGGGAGTCCTCGCAGATCTACCTAATACATAGAAACAAATCCAAACAGGCAGCCAAAATGGGGAGACAATGAAAAGTCCCAAAAGAAAGAACAAGAGAATTCTCTAGAAGAGCTAAGTAAAATGGAGATAAGCAATCTATCAGATACAGAGTTCAGAATAATGATTATAAGGATGCTCAACAGCATAAGAAAAGATATGGCAACTAAGAAGAATATGTGGAATCTAAAGAACATAATAAACTGATGAACAAAACAGATTCAGTGACACAGAAGCATAGAACAGACTGACAAATCCTAGAGGGAAGGCTGGGGGTGGGTAGGTGGGTGGGGATAGACTAACCAAAGAATTTATATGTATATACGCATAAGCCATGGACACAGACAATAGTGTGGTGAAGGCCTGGGGTGGAAAGCGGGTGCAGGGTGGAAGGGGTCAATGGGGAAAAAAGGGGTCATCTGTAATATTTTCAACAATAAAAA